TCTGCCCTTGGAAGTACGGCGCCTTTTTCTGTGGTGAGATTGGGACAAGCTTTTTTCCCGCCTGCGGCGGTCTGATGGTTGGGAGCCTGGCTGCTGTTCCGTGGCCACTGGCGTCTGGCTTGCCGCAGGCTGCGTCAGCACGGATCCAGAGGCTGCCGAGGTCTGCGAGGTCGGGGCGCAGCTGTACATAGAGCCGGAAACAGGCATGGGAAATGGATTGCATCCCATCGGAGCTGCCATCGCAGTGATAGCAGGCTGCACCGGTTGCATCTGGGCAAGCGGCACATTTGATGAAACCGGGAGCGAGTGAGACATAGAATGGTGCGACAACGGGACTCCAAACTGTGTTGAATCCCACAGGGGTTGGTTTGCTGGCCCTTGCTGCCACGCGTAGCCTGGGATTTGCAGCGATCCTCCTGAGGTCATTGCGGTTCCGCTCATCGACTGGTACCCCATTGGCTGGTAATGCGGGTACATGGCTCAAACAAAACAAAAGCTATACACAGCATTTGACATTGAAATAACTGCGCTTCGAGTGGGCTTCTGCCGTAGCATGCTCTCCAACTGCGCAATTCCAAGCACCAATCTGGATTTTCACGCCAGAAAAAAAGGCCCGAGCGCTCTTTTTGAGCGCCTTTGGAACACAGCAATCCGATCAAGAAGCAAGACAACCTGAGAGACCGTACAGGAAGTTATGATCATGCGCTAATGCTTCATGCGCTTGCACATCAGTGAACCACCGGCAATGAACTGCATTGAACGGCTATCTGGCCAAGCCAGCTCGGATCAAGAAAAAGAGAATGTTCACGCGCAGCAAGTGCCACACAAGGCTTGTTCCTATGCGTAAAACTGCAGGGCAAGCAGGTGCAAAATGCTGTGCAAAAATGCGCTAGATGCCATGCGCTGGATGCAATGCGCTATATGCCATGCGCAATTGCCATGTGCTAGATGCCATGTGCAATGCGTGCACGCTTGCAATTCTGCAACGCAGCTGAACTGAACTGCAACGCAGCTGAACTGAACGTTGAACATGAAGGCTGAAAGTTTGGGGGCATCTGGCCCCCTCTCCCATCGGCGCCTTGACGGACAGGCCGTGGGAATCACACACTTGTGTCGTCAGCATGAAACACTTGCACATGGAGAGTGCTGATATCAGCATGCACAGCACATGATCCCACGCATCGACACCGAACCAAAGCAACAGCTCCCAAAAACATCGACACCGAAAAAAGAAACAACAGTTCCAGAAAACAGAGCCAAACAGGAACCAGTGGTCCAAAACAACCGCCAATCCAATGGGAGTTCGATGAGATAGCCTCAAGGGCAACATTGTTGGTAATACTCGACTGCAGGTACGTCAGCACTGCGTCCAGTGCTGATATCCTAGCCTGAATCCTGGAGCTTCGTTGGCCCACGCCAGGAAACAGGCCCATGGGCCCCCTGCTATAAAAATCGCTCGGCTGTCTACGCTCGGCACTTCCAGCTGAGCGATCAGGCCTGCTGCCAGCTCTGCTCTTAAACTGCCGACTGTTGGCTGTCCCATGATCCAGGGATTTTCCCTCACACACACACAAACACACGCACACACACACACACACACACACACACACACACACACACACACACACACACACACACACACACACACACACACACACACACACACACACACACACACACACACACACACACACACACAACACACACACACACACACACACACACCACACACCACACACACACCACGCACACACACACCACACACACGCACACGCACACACACACGCACACGCACAACACGCACACGCACACGGCACAACTTCACACGCACACACGCACACACGCACACACGCACACACGCACACACGCACACACGCACACACGCACACACGCACACACGCACACACGCACACACGCACACACGCACACACGCACACACGCACACACGCACACACGCACACACGCACACACGCACACACGCACACACGCACACACGCACACACGCACACACACACACACACACACACGCACACACGCACACACGCACACACGCACACACGCACACACGCACACACGCACACACGCACACACGCACACACGCACACACGCACACACGCACACACGCACACACGCACACACGCACACACGCGCACACCCGCACACGCGCACACGCGCACACGCGCACACGCGCACACGCGCACACGCGCACACGCGCACACGCGCACACGCGCACACGCGCACACGCGCACACGCGCACACGCGCACACGCGCACACGCGCACACGCGCACACGCGCACACGCGCACACGCGCACACGCGCACACGCGCACACGCGCACACACGCGCACACGCGCACACGCGCACGCGCACACGCACACGCACACGCACACGCACACGCACACCCACAAACACGCACAAACACACGCACACACACACACAAGGAAGAAATATGTTACATTCAAGTTTCACTATCGAGTGGGGCGATTCGAGTGAAGGGCACACACACACACAAGGAAGAAATATGTTACATTCAAGTTTCACTATCGAGTGGGGCGATTCGAGTGAAGGGATGCGAGTCGACTCAGAATCTGGTCATGTCGAGTGGGCTTCTCGTTACTGGTTTCAAAGGGGAAACTGAGAAGCAACAGCGTTTCAAGGGGGGGACCGAATAGACTTTGCATCACGAGCAGGTACACGAACTGGCGTCCCAGTGCCCTTTCCATCTACAACCGTAGCTTCGTTGGACACGGTAGGTGCGAATGCCGTGTGCCCATGCTTTGCATCATGATGGTGTCAGGGTTGAACTGACACCCAACACACACACACACACATGCGCGCGCCCCAGCCCCAGGCCAAACCTCAAGCCCACCCTGCGTCAACTCTGAGCCCGCCCAACAAATCTCCAATAGCAGTCCTTAGGTTCGCCTAAGTCACCCGACGCCGATAGTGAGTAAGCACGAAAGCCAAAAACTAAGCCGGTCTCAAGCAACGTTCAACTGCCCCCCCCCCCCAAAAAAAACTGCGCAAAAATGTGAGATATTGCTGATGAGGGTCCACTGTGACAGATTTTGCAAGCTGCTTCAAATGAGGCTGATGCTAGCATTTGGAGCATTCCGCAAAAAAGTCAGGGCTAGGCGAACAAACAAACAACCTCCAGTCCCATTTAATGCCCCATGCCCAGCGGTTGCCCAAACGGGAGAAATCAACTCAAGCTTGCTGAGGTCGCCCGCTGCGTGGGAGAGAGCCACCAAGGACAGAGAGACGAGTTGGGTTCGAACACCTCCGTGGCCATTTAAGAGTGTTCAAAGTGAGTTTCCTTCACCCAGCTCAGATCGATTTTTCCCCTTGTCAACCAGGGATTTGCAGGCTGCTGTCAAAGAGACATAGAGTGCAGAGAATGAAGAAAGGGCCTGTGCAAGCAAGTCGCTCTTGAGTGGATGTACAGGTCTAGAGAGGGCTTGCTGGATGGCTGCCGTGGTACTGCAAAAAGTTGTTCAAGTGTGCTCAGCGCTATACAAGTTTCTCCCAGCAGAGTTGCACTAAAGCGTCAAGAAATCTTCACAGAGTCTTGGTGTGCCTGAGATGTGCTACGTCAATGGTTTCTGTGTTCGGTCCAGATTGGCCCAATTTTAATCATCTCAAGACAGTATGATGTGTTTGCCAGTTGCCAGCCAGGAGCCTACCTGTGAGGACTGAATGCGGATCGATTTGGAGGCGGCCTTTAAGCGTCTCTTGCACCAAACCTCGCCTTTTGTGGTTTCTCAATAGAATCACAGATAGGTACGGTGAGCCTTTGCAACAGGAACAGCTCAGCCTTTTGTGAAACTTCCAGCCCTACTACGCCTCCATCTCGGCGTTTGCCGCCAAGCGGACAAACTCGGGCACCAGGTTGGAGTAGGTCTTGGCTCGGCGCAGCTTCAAGGGCTCTGCCGCGGGGAAGAAAAAGGAGCCAGCCTTTTGGTTCGTCCTTACAGGGGGGGGAAACAACAACTATGGTTGTAGAACACGCTCAGATCTGTTGGAGCTGCTGGGTGTGTTGATTTGTTTTATGTTGAGGGGAACACATGCAGAAACCGCCTTTGCTTAGGGTTCCAACTTTGGCAGAGGTTGAAGTGGGTTTGCTTTGTTGTTGTGTCTTTGGTTTGTGTATAATATATATATATATATATGGTCGTATGTGTTTGTTGCATGTTGCATTTTGATTGCATGAAATGTGAGGTAAGAATAAGTTGGCTGCAAGGTGCCCTGTCTGGCAAAACGGTTCCACAGCACCTCACATGAGCCCGTCTTTGTGATGGCTCAGGGGAGTTTGGGACGAGGGCATCGGCCAGGCCATTTCGCCACAAGGGCTGCACGATACTGATCTTCGGACACAAGCTGACAAGCATGCCTATGGTGTAGAGCGGGGACCCTACATGCTGACCCACCAAGGCCGATTTTGGCGCATGCAAGCTTGCCCTGAAAACTTCGTGACCCTGAAGACGATTTTGATATCATTCGATTTTGATTGGCTTACTCCTTCGGGAGTCTGCGTGTGCATTTTGCGGGACAATTGGAGTCCTCAACAACGATTCACTGATGAGTGCAACAGAATCGGCACCTTTAAACGGATGTTGATGACGATTGGCACAGACGTTTGCAATCCGTGGCCAAGCCCTGAAGGTGATAAATTGGAATCGGTGTTTGGCCCATATCCTGAGCTTCCTCGAAAGTTGTTCAATGGTTGTCAGTAACCCCTCCTGTTCGACGGGGGTATGTTTTGTGATCAATGTGATGATTTGTTTTGTTGCTTGTTAGTCAGTTGTAGTCGCATCATGTGCACTATCCTTAACTATTGTTGCCCTGTTCAGGTACAAAGCATTGAGGGCCATGGAGGGCCCGGATCGATTTGCCCAACAAACGCGCATTCACGTGGCTGCAGGAGCGAGAGTGACTATAAGTTGAGTCATGAGTCATGAAAGGTCCAGCAAAGGAAACACGTTGACGACGCAACAAGTGGCCTTGGCAGGTTGGCTTTTACCCAAGATCCACACCCAAATCGTTGGACGCTTTACATCCTTTTGGGCCCGCAATGGCCAGTAGTACGCGCCTCACAGAGCTGAGCGGGCCAAGCTGAGACCTGTGCCGTTCTCCGAACCTTGTATTTCGCTTGTGGTACTCGTAGGTCTTACAGCAACAAGGTTCCTCTTGGTTGGGGTGATGTGAGAGATGCAAAGCAAACTCGATGCCTTGAGGTCCTTGGACAGCTGCCTGGAGTACCAAACACCAGAGGTGGTACTATGAGGACGCCTCGGAGCAAGTGGTCGATGACGTGTAGGTCTGTAGATCGTTCGGGGCACCCTTTGCGTTGTTGCTTTCAAGGGAAGCCAACCAAACCCATCCATTCTGAGGGGCTCCACCCCCTTGACAAACCTATGTAGGACCAAGCTCGTGCTGCGCTGATGGCTCCTTGAGTCAGCGCGAGCTTAAATTTCTTGTGGAAAGCTTCTGAGGTTCATTGGCAAAAGTTGGTGTGAGGCGGTGTTGCTTCCAGATTCTTTTGGGAGGGAGATCCTTTGAAGCTTAAGTAGTGCTTTAGGATCCCATGTTAGTTGCTCGCGGTTTGCTTGCATGCATTCATCAAGGCGTCTTCTCCGATATCCATGCCGAAACTCGAACGGAGGATAGGGATCGTGGAGTTTCCCAGTGGGCCGGCGCCCAAGACACTGCTCCAGGGCTTCGATGGGTGGTCTCCAACCTGCGAATGGGTGACATATGATTGGTTTGTTCTTCAAAACCACCAACGGGGGCAGGATCAGCTTCAGCAAAAGCCTCACAAGCCTCAATGATGAGATGCGGCCGTGGCCAAGGGAGGTTTCCAGGCTTTTGGGTGACTCTCCCACGGAAGGGGAACACATTGGACCCTTCCAATTCTTCCTCTTTGGTGGAAGAGAATTGCAGAATAACCTCAAAACTGGTTGGGCACAGCCCAATGATGTCCACCAAAGGGTTCCCAACCAAAACATAAACTTTGACAGCTTGGCTCGGGTGGTGGGACTCGTTGTTCACGTTGCTTCGAGGAAAGGCCGGCGAACTGCCGGGAGAGCTTGCCGGCAGAGCCGCCCCGTGAGGCAGACCTGGGCGTTTGGCGTGGCTAGGTCTGAGGTGAAACCAGAGGATTCATCGAACCATCAAGGTCCAATCCATGAAACCACGAACCACACCATCATTGGTCAAGATGGTTCGGTGGATCTTCGATTAGAAGTAGGTAATATATATATATATATATATCCTGGCTCTGACATCCCCATGGGGATTGTACTCTTGCCAAGCCAGATTCCATGTAGAATGTTGGCTCTACTTGTGTAGCTTCTTTGACTGTGGGTAGCATGTGTTGCACTGTCTCACCAAACTCGCAAAGTGGTGTATGTTGTTCTCTTCCCCATTTGTTGAAGTAGCTTGTTCTCCATTGCTGCGGATTGCATACCTGTTCATGATGTATGCGCTATGTCGAATAACCCAGGGCATCAGAGCATGTTCCATTATGATGTTTTCGTTATACTTATGCGTGCATTGTGCTTTGAAATCCTCCTGCACTGATTGTAGGTTTGTGTGTGTGTGAGTTGTTCTTCCACATTCAACAAGAAAATGCTGTAGTTGTGTGACTGAAAGAGCTATTCGACAGGAGTTCCAAAAAGACCACCGGCAGATCATGGGGGGAAAATCAAAAAACGCATGTGGGCTTGAAGCCGATGGCTGGGATCGACGCCGACTCGCCAGGTGGCCGACCTTGCGCTAAAGCGAAGAGATCTGCCAGAAGGCGCTGGCGAGCGGGCGGAGGGGGGGGGGGGTCGAGTCCCCTCAAAATGGTCGCTGGAAGTATTGGTACATATATGGCTGTGGGTCAAAACCAATGGTACCATTTTGGGGTAGGTGCACCACCCGCTTGTGTCTAGTTTAGTGGAGATTGGGATGTTCACTGGGGGTGCAGGGTGTTGACCCATGGCCATCTTGTTAATATAATTGGCTCAAAAAACCAAGCTGCTGTGTCTCACCATGGACCCCTGCGAATCTTTGGAAGCGAGTCGTTTTGAATGTGCACTTCGATACACGTGGGACAAGAACCAGCCATGTGACTTTGTTGGTCTAGATTCCTCTGCAGCGCTGGCAGGAGTTGTTCATTGGATAAAGCCTTGTATTAGGAACCCTTGTGGCCTGGTCCAAGCAGCAGCCATTGCTCAAAGGACACGCAGCTTGCCCTTTTCTGGAAGCAAAACGGCTGGTGTTTGTGTGTGTGTGTGTGTGCGTGTGCGTTCTTGTTTGGGTTTGCATATTGAGACAATTGTTGCCGGACAGCTCATGGGCTTTGGAAGCCTTCGACAGCCTGGGAGTCCAAGCACAGGAAGAAAGTGACAACGCCCCAGCTCACAGAAATAGACCAGGCAGTAGAGAAGTTGGCGTTTTCGCATGTAGTCACTAGGCTTAGCCATTTACCCCCCCAACCCCATCCAAGTCACACGTTGGCTTTGTGTGGCTTTGTGCTCCAAGCCATGGAGACTGGCCGCGCCAAGCGCGAGGCGCCGAGCCAGTTGGAGTCCTTGGTTTACCTATGTTTACCTGAAGCCGAAAACGTTTGGAGGGATTCAGCCATTTGTTGCTTTCCAAAGAAATCGGTCTCGGACGCACGTGCTTTGTCCGGAGGAGCACAGCCAGGAGCCAATGAGTGACCCCAAAAAGGGGGTGATGCGCGTTTCAAGGCCCCCTCACAAAAAAAGTCCCCATCTTGAACAGTGGTGCGTGCCGGATATGCTTTGATTTGGAATGAAACAAGCAAGGTCAACAGGTCAACCAAACTGCCGCGACGGCATGCCCCAAAGCAACTACTGCAGGTGAGCATTTCGCAATAGAGAAAGCAACTGAGATCAGAACATCACCTGGGCTAGAATCTATACTGCATATGGTGTGTGTGTGTGGTGCCGTCCAAAATCGTGCCAATTTTGCTCGAGGCTGCAAGTGCCGTTCAATTGATTTAAATCATCATGACTTTGCCTCTTTGCGGCAGATATTGTTTCTATTAAAAGGTAGTTGCAGGTCCTGGTAGCAGAATTGACAGTAAATGCCATGAACTTGGCAGAGCCATCATGTTCCACGCACACAAATACACGCAGAGAGAGGCATTGCGACAAAGAGCCACTAGAAGGCAGATCGTAGATCTCTTATGCAACGCTGACCAGCGGATTGGACTTCCCAATTTTGCTCTTGGCTGACTCTCGCCATGGGAGCCAGCCAGTGTCTGGAAGTGCAGCTTGGATTCAAACGGTCCTTGGAAACTGGGGAAACCTGGTGCAAATGGCTGTGTCTTTGAGGGTGCCCTTTTCGGAGGTGATGTTGCGAAGAAAAACCGGAGACGTTGATATGCTTCTGGTTGGACACACTCCCAGTTTGGGCTTGTTGGCCCTGAAAACGAACGTTTGGCAACGGTCTAAAGCAATGGGATGCTTACCCCACCCACCAAACAGGAGCCTGAGACGGTCCTCGGGCAAAACGGAGAGAGGGCAAAGGCCATCGTCGGGAATGCATATCGCTAGTTTGCAGGTATCTGGTCTATGCATTCTTTGAAAGCGCCCCACAAGACTGACGAGCATAAGCTCTTCTTTTGTTCCGTTTGGGTGGGAAGCTGGAAGGTTGGTGGTGTCTCAAGTGGGTTCCTTTGAAGCACGCCTCCTCGCAACAGCAAAGCCGGCCTCCATCAATATGCCACAAGTGGTTGGGAAGGCCTTCGGTAGTTTTTCGGACTCACCGCGGTCAAGCATCGCAGCAGTGCTCCAGAGCTATGATCTAACAGGATCCCCAATTTGTTCAAGTCACATTTTGACGCGGTGGTGTTGGGTGCTCGAGGGCCGGCCTCCATGTCCCACGGAATCGAGACTCAGGAACTATGCGTGAAGCCGCATGGCTTGAGCAGACAGCTTCCTGTGTGGCGGGCTGCACGGCCGGCGTGGCTCGGGTCTTGATAGGACATCCCTTCGACACCCTGAAGGTCTTGCGCCAGACAGGGTCTCGGGAGCCTTTGCCGAAGATCGCCTTATTTCGCTTGTATCGGGGCTGCGGGCCCCCGTTGATTTCTGCCAGTCTCTACTCCTCTGCGGCCTTCACCATCTATGAAGGTGTGGCCAAAGAAGTGTCGCATTCCCGTTCCTTTGTGGCGGGCATGGTGGCAGGTGCTGTCCTGGCTGTTCCAACCTGCCCCTTGTCCAACTTTCAGGTGCTGCAGCAGACCTCCAGCCACCAGCGCTCCGTGGTCCAGTGGGCCGCCAAGCTGCGGCAGTGGGGGCTGGCCGGATTCTTCAGGGGCTTTGTGCCGCACTTTCTCCAGGGCAGTCTGGGTCGGGGCTGCTACATGGCTGGCTATGACCTCCTCAAAACCGCAGAGGACCGATTCCACCCAGAGATGTCGCAGAGCCTCACAGGCAAAGTCTGCGCCGCATGTGGTGCCGGCGTCGCGGGCTGGATCTTCACCTACCCCATCGACGTGGCCCGCAGCAACCTCATCTCCGACTGGAAGCGGGAGAGGTACACGGGCATGCTGCAGACCCTCCAGCTGCTGCTGCACGAAGGCGGGCTGCGCCGGCTCTACTGCGGCCTGGCCTGGACCTTGGTGAAGGCCATCCCCGTGGCCGCCGTGTCCCTCCCCGCCTACGACTTCGTGCGCCAGGCCATCCTGGAATCAAGGTGTGGCGGAGGTTTGCTTTTGGCGTGAGCTGCCGGGTGTGGAGCTCTTCATGGTGTTTTCGCAGACAGCGCGTCTGCCAAAGTGCAGCTCTTCATGAGAGAGTAGAGAAAGATGAGCATGATGAGTGAACTTCTCGTTGCAACTTGGCTGTTCTGCGATGTTGGAGCCTTGAATCCTTGCAGAATGACCCTTTGCCGGATTCAGAGAGGCCTTACCTCTGGGAGCACGAAATATGAAATTAGTATGGGAAACCTTCCTGTTAGAGGTGCCGCGTTAACTTGCTCACCCTGCAGGCCTGAGCGTTGGCCCTGTCTCCGCGCAGCGTCGTGCGGAGCGCAGGAGCAAGGCGGGAGAAATCCCGGCGGAGGTGTTCAAAGTCCTACTGATCGTTCGGACAAACTAACTGGTATTCAGGCAGCTGAACCAAAATAACATGAAACCTTTTCCAGACAAGCGACGTCTGTTGTCCGCTTTTCTCCATGAAACCGGCTCAATAGAAGCGAAATCCAAAAGGAAGCCAGGCAGCCAGCCAGCGGCACATGCTTTGAGGACGACCATTAAGGAAGGGCTGCTTGCGGTCTCCAGGAGTCCAGGCCACGTCGCGGACCAGCGCCGCGGAGGGACAGGCGCCGGACATAGCAGGTCAATCCTTCAAATTGGCCGGTGTTCTTCCCAATACCTGTAGGGTGAAAGGAGATAATTGTGCCATGTTTTGTTTTTTGCTGGCAAGTAGGGGGGATTCTATAGATGTCGTACATGTGCCACATACGGGAACGACTCTACTGAGGGATGTGCCGCCACATCCCTCCGCTCTCACTGCATGAGCCATGCTGACACGGGTCCTTGTGCCTCACTTGACATACCCAAAGTCAAACGTTCCATTGCCAGGGTTAGTCGAAATCGATTCTCGGTCCTGTCCCTGGCGGCAGATGTGCCTTGAGCATCCCAGGCCTGCGCTACGCTGCGAGGGGAAAAATGCACGGAGGGGCCAGCGCAGGGACACACCAGGCCAAGGACTGAAAATGGAACATGTTTGTGTTTTTTGTTGGGTGCCCTTGACAACGGCATATGGTCTATGCCTTGAGACAATGGAATCGAAGATTACCCTTCCAAACACTAGGTGCAACAGCGGTGGCTGTTTCTGGTGGAAGAATTCAGATCCTTGAAATGAAGCCGCACGGGATGTGGGACATACCAACGAAGTATTCTTCACAGGATGACAATCCTTCTTTGGGCCATTCCTGTTTTGCACCATGTTCAGACTCTTGCAATGAGCATTATTATTTAGTTCTTCAGTACTGTCAAGCCTTTGAGGTATGCCAAAAGCAGAGATACTCCACACGTATTTCTTTCGAGATTGCTGCACCTGAGCCACTCACGGCATCAGATCTAACTTGCTAGGTTGGGATTGCGAGTGGGACGCTCGGTATCTGCGCCACTATTACTTCAACCGGAAGACGCAGGCAGGGAATCCAGCCGCTGGAGAATCGTGGCCTTAATTCAGTTACTGGCTCCAAAAGCCAACGCAACTGTTGGGTTTATGGCCTTTGGAAGCCGCTGTGGAAGGCAGTGAGCGTTGGTCAATCCATGGGCTTCCAGTGGCCGTCCCAATCCGCGCCTAAGATTTGTGTACCTTGGCCAGGCATCCAGCAGTTCACGGTTCCATAGTCCCCATAAGCTTAGATTTGAGAAGGAACATTTCAAAGCAAAAACCGAACATGTAGTCTCAATGATCCATGTTTCAATGTGACCAGGAGCTTTTGTGCAGGGCCCTGTGAAAGTATCTGAAGCCGCAGGAGAGGACGTGGAAGCGGCCGGAGGAGAATCCGCAGAGACCCATGTGGAACGCGACGGGGCGGGGGTCAACCCCTAGCAAGGGTGCCCTCAAAAGAAGCGCACACATTAAAAATATATTATATCTTATTGAAACATACATATGCATGTGGCGTTATTATGTTGAAGGCGTACAGATGCACGTTGCTCCTGTCAAAGGTGCCAGAACCAATCGGGATCTATTGCGAAGACCGACCGGGAAGGATAAGACAGCGATGTCAATATAGTAAGTCTTGCGGTCATTGAAGTCTTCAGGTGATGCGTTGATTTGACCAAGCTCAATGCTGGCTTCCACACTAACTACTGGAAAGCTGTCTGATCAGGCTCCAGTTAGTCGCATTCAGAAGTTGCCTGCCACTAGGGGCCCTATCCATTGCATGATCCGTTGGTTTGTGACTCCATGAGGCTGGGCAATCTGTTCTCAAAATGAGACAATCAGCATGAATGTGCCAGCAATATTTGTTTGCAATACTATTTCCTGAAATTCTGCCTGATTCGGGCCGCCCCTAATCCAATTCCTTCCGGTTCCCTTCCCCCAAAGAGGGCAGCACAGCGACTTGCGCAGGATGTCAGCCAAGCACGGGGCCGGATTCTTAATTGAACCCAAACTCACAGCGAAGGGTTCATCCGGAAACAGCTCAGGACAATCACCGTAGTGTAGTCGCAGGGTGTGACACAAAACCCTCGGAGAATTTGTTCGCCACAATGTGGTAAGAAATCGGCTGTGATCTCTCGACCTCTCCAGTTGATAGCGTGTGATGCCAAACTCCGCATGGCCAACCTTTCAAAGTTGGCTTGAATCGGCAACGTTAGCGGGCTGAAGTGCATCATATCAACATGGCCCAGGATCCAAGCGGTGCTTCACAGTGGTCAAGCTCGAAATGAATCGCAGTGTTTCTCTTGACCGACTGGCAAAGTATTCTTCGGTACAAGTCTATTGGGCCGGGTTGTTCTTTGGGTATTGAGCCCAAAAGCGAAGCATCCCCTGCATGCTGGGAACCCCTTGTAATCAACCATCAGTTGATTAATCCTTGTTGCTCCACATCACAGCTGCTTGGAAAACCTGTTGGCTTCGTGAGAAAGTCGACCCCTCTGCGAAACACCGGGCAACTCATGGCACCTCCTCCCAACTGACCGCTTCGTTGAGGCGTGGCAGCTGCGCCTCAGCCTCCGACGGACACCAGAGGCTGACGCTGTCTTTGCTTCCCTGCGGGGCGAAAAGAGGGGTCCTCAACAAAGATGGGCATTCGTTTTTGGATGAATTGGCTTCCGGATCTTTTTGGAATCCCGCAAACACAGGCCGAAAAGAGGTATCCATTGTCATCTTGTTTGATTGTTTGGATGTTTGTTTTAGGGCTATTTTTTGGGGAGGCCGTGCTTTCTTTGGGCCTCGGTTCCTTCTCACGTCCGGAAATAGAATGAGGTCTCATATTAACTTCCCACACCAGTCTTAATCGGTTGCTAAATATGGACTGCACATGCTCAGACACCCAACCTGGAGGAACCCCATGTTTCTCAGCGCAGATTCCAGACAGAGCAAGCACCTTGGCTACGGCATCAGGCCGCCCTCTCGCGCCAGGTTCACTAGGCGCCGCCAACCCCTTCACAGATGCTGCGGTCTAAGCGGAAAGGAGCTTTGTGTAGGTTGCCCCGTTTGAAGTTCAGGAAAGAATGTGCGTGTGGGTTTGTGTGCGTGTGTTTTTGTTTTTGTTTGTGCTTGTGCTTGTGTTTGTGTTTGTGCTTGCGTGTGTGTGTGTGTGTGTGTGTGTGTGTGTGTGTGTGTGTGTGTGTGTGTGTGTGTGTGTGTGTGTGTGTGTGTGTGTGTGTGTGTGTTTGTGCTTGTGCTTGGGTTTGTGTTTGTGTTTGTGTGCGTGTGCGTGTTTGTGTTTAAGTGTTTTTGTGCGTAGTTTATAGACGATCTCCCTTCTAGCAGCTTGCCTTGATTTTTTTTATTTCTTGATCGTTCGACGACGTTGGCTGTCTTGAAGTCCCCACTGGCCAAGGTCAGAAAAACTAAGCAAACACATCAAGCATCGAAACTCACAGCCACAGGGATAATGAACGACGTAGCCAAGTGTTAAGAGGCTAAGCTAAAACCCTCCCTGGACTGATGTGACTCCAAGCGAAGAACCTCAGCAGATCCAACAACAAATTCGAAGAAAGCCAATAAAATGACCCACAATGGTTCGTCTCATCCCTCAAGGGAGGTAGCAATCAGAGCAATCAGATTGCGGAGGGAGGACTGCGCAAGTATGTGTGTGTTGTGTGTTTGTGTGTTTGTGTGTTTGTGTGTTTGTGTGTTTGCGTGTTGTTTTGCGTGTTTGTGTGTGTGTGTGCCTGTGTTCGCGCGTGTGCGCGGTGCTTGCGTTCGCGTGCGCGCGCATGCGAGCGTGTGTGTGCGTTTCCCTCCAGTTTTTCTCATTTCAGGTGAGGCACGCTACAGCTTCTATTGGAGAAGGGAGTGCGTGACACTCTTGGCTGGAGCTTGTGCACTTTCATGGTTCTTTGTCGAATTATTTCCGACAGCAATCCTCACACGGCAGACCAATAGCATTCGCCCCGATTGTACAAAGCCTCCGAAAGCGGACATCGATCGGCAACTTCGCTTAGGCGAGCGCTGCCCAGAACGTGGCAGCAACGCGTCCAGCCGGCCGAACTTGATGCCTTGCTGCGTTTTTGATCATGTAATTTTTGAAATCACGACACCTGGTGGAATGGTCTGACGCATTAATGTACATGTCAGGTTTATGACATACCACAGCGCAGTTCTGTTTTCGTTGTCGCCATGGGCTTGTGGCTTGAGGATGCACGAAGCCGTCCCAAACTGCTCAAAGTGGCGCAAAGCCAAGCGGCGCAGGCAATCTGGCCGGCGTGCAGCGGAGAGGGGGAGGCCGGGAAACCCAGCCATGTGGATTTTGAGTGGTTCAGCTTCGTTGGTGATTTGGAGCCGGGTGGTTTGGAGGTTAGTGGGGTGGTTTCCCATTTTTAAACAAGACCAGGGGTTCAAATCCAAATCCAAACCACCAATCCAAACCACCATTTGGTGCTTGTGAGGGTGCTCCTTGGGTTGGTGCTGCAGTGGCAACCACGAAATACCAAAACCCAGGTTAGGGCGTGAAGGCCAGGGGGCGTGTGAAAATTGTGGACACCTTTGGGCTACTGTTTTTGAAGGCGATGGTCTCAAAACAGGTTTAGCCGCTTCGTGTTTGGCTCGAGGAGCATGATTGCATAACCTTTTGGTATCACGGGTTGACCACCCGCTTTTTCATGTGCCCATTTTATTGGTTTTCTCCCAACAGAGGTATGAACAACAGCAAGCCTTCGGGATATTACAATCCCTTTCCGAGTTTCTGGACTGAGAACTTTTAGGATCATGTAGTCCCCTGGACTAAAATCCCACATTCGGATCCTGAATGCACATACCCGGGCCCGGGTGTATTTTGGTGCAATGTAAGACGAGCTTTGAGCATCAGCCGGCCTGAGGTACAGAGTGGCATGCCCAGGACTTCAAGAAGCGCTTGGATCAGGCCGAGCTTGCGTCGCCGCCACCGGCGAGCTTGCTGCTTCTACTCACCTCCGGCGAGTGGGGTTTGTGTGTGTTGTGTACACCCTGGGTCATAGATTGCTCAGGCCAAAGCGACCAGGGACAGGAACTACATCAAGTCGGTGCTGAAAGAAGCGTTGCGCTTAACTTGCCACGGAGATATGCAGTCCAATGCAACCCTTGGCAAAAGCAATGGGACGTGCCATTCGCGGCCATCCGCCCTCTCGCTTGAAGGTGGAATCGAGATACGGAAATCGAAGGGCTCAGTGTCATGCTGCATGTTTCCTTGTATTCCTTGTGCTGAGGTGGCTGAAAACAATTACGCCCTCAGAAGCCAATGGGTTGTCCCAAGGACGAAAGATGGCGGCAAAAAGCTCACAGCCAGTCACATGATTTGCACGCTGTGGCTGAACATTCGGATGGGCTGCATTTCACAGGACAGCCCTTGTACCGCTGGAAGCTTGCGGGGACCTAAGAGCATAGCACATCCGAGAGGGGTCACTAGAATTGCGCCCTGCGCTGACAAAAGGTTCCACACAGCGCAGATTGCGGAGGAATGCAATTTTCTCAGTATAGTGCCTGGCACTGTACTGAAGCCCATGGTTCAAGGCAAGCCATTGCAAGAGATCACCAGCGTGTGGATTTGCTTTTTGGACGAGTTTGCTGCTTTTGCAGCTTCCGCTGCAAGCTGTGACCCCAGCTTTTGGACGGCACGGTTTTGGACAAACTTGAGGCCTCCCCTACCCGACGAAGGTGTCATTCCGTGCCGTGAACGGACCGAAAGGCTTCCGGCTGGGCCAAGGTCTAAAGTCAAGAGTCAGCGGAATGGGCACTGACCCCGAGGCTGGACATGGGAGCTGGGAGAAGGTCCGCGGTCTCTCAGCCGATTAGATTAAAAAAAAAATGGAATTGGATTCTAGCAAATCCAACATAGCAATTGGGATTAGGCTTAGGCTTCGGACTGAATGGGACTCGGATGCCGGCTCAGTTTGGCTTCAGCACAAATAGTGTGGTTGGACGAGGTTGCCGGTATCAGAGCGACGCCCCTTCCTGGCAATGAAGCAAAGGGTGATACTCAAAAAGGTTGGAAAGCCATGAACGTGCAGCGCGTTGGATCTTCAGCTCTTTATTAATCATGCTGCTTTTTGCCTCCGGAAATGCACTTCAACAGCGGTGCCGAACCACTGCCTGGTGCAAGGAAACGAATCTTTCCGCACCTGTCCCAAAGTGCCGATCCCTTTACGAGTCTACGAGTTTTTCTTGTCCACAAGCGAGGACGAGAGGACCTGACAGCATCCGGGGTCTGGGGCTCGAAGGTCACCTTCTCCAAGATGACCACTGCAGATGTGCCCAGCTCAGCGAGAGCGATAGCCGCGTAACATGACTTGCGGTACGGTGCTGAACGTGGAACCTGGAGAGCCGTTGCCGTTGCAGGGATCTGTGGGATCTCAATGTTTGAGGTTCAGTTTAAATTGATTTCCAGGGGACTAACTACGCATGGTCTTTTCTAAGCCCGGATGTCTCAACGGCAAGGAGGGTTTGAAGGGGATCTTTGAACATCCGCATGTCACGGGCCGGTCAACGGCCTTTGAGTTTGAAGGGGGCAAAACACCTGCAATCTGTGGGACTTGGAGCTTTCGCAGGATCATTTTGGAGGTATTCTGAAGCAAAGGCCCCCATTGTTCCGGTTCTGCTTGCCACACCAGGGCCTACATATCCAGAGTGCCATTTCTAGAGTATCTTATTGTGGGTGGCCAAAAGCGGACGAGTTCTTAAAGGACCGCCGGGACTTTCCGCCTTTGAAGCCATCTGGAAGCGTACAGGCACTGATGTGGTTCACGCGGAGCAATCCGCAGCGCAAGGCCTGGCAGGGAAGGAGGGGGCTTGGGGTTGGGGGGGTCAGGGCTACCCCAAGAGCAGGGCTTTGTAGGGTTCCATGTTATTGTCAAAGTCACTGACTTCCTAGAAATGAGCTACATGCGACATTTTCCCGCCTCAGCCCCCTCCAACTTGCTAGCTAGCGCTTCTTGCTCATCATCACAAGTTTTAGGAATTGTGGGTGGCAACAGGCTGCCATGTCGCACGTGAGGTGGTCGGGCTGAACTTCGCCAATGGCCAGAACGTGGGCGGAGGCGGCACCAAGTAGCTATTGATTGCAGGCTATGACAAATGGCTACCTTCAAAAGCGCGTTTGCTAGAATGCAATGTTTAGGATGGATATTGTAATTAATGTGTGTGTGTGTGCGCCCCGGCGCGCGTGCACGTGTTTGCGCGTGTTTGTTTGTGATGTGACCCCGAAGACGTCGGCTATTCATGCACACAAATTAGTTGTGTCTCATGTTTCATTTCTCAGTAGGCCAGCAACAAAGGCTTCCCTCCCTTGAAGTTGGAAGGTGCAAGGAAACTCGGCGTGTGTGTGTGTGTGTCGCTTGTTTGGGCCCCGTTGCCGGGGGCAGCCTGAAGGCTACAAGAATGGAGCTGTCGCTCAGGAGGAGGCCGGCTGAGTGAACGAGTTTGAAGTTAGGCTGAGATGTGTCAAATGGGCAATGTTGAATAGCTGGAGTCGCGTTTGAGCAGCGCCCAGCGCCGGGTTGGCCATTTTGGTAGGCGGTTCATAACGGTTATATAGGGGTTGCAAATCAAGCTTATTCTATACACCATTTATGGTCACAAAAGTCAATGGGCGAAACGGGCGCTTATTTGCATTGACAGGACCTTTGCCGCAGGATGCCCACGCTCTACACGTCGCTCTTCAACGCCAAGCGGGACATGTGGTTTCCGAAATTCAGGGCCCCCCCCGACAAAAAAGCTGCTGCTTTGTGCCGAAGTGCTGTCCCAAAAGCACTCGTTGCGGGGTGCTAGGCATTTTGCTTTTTTTTGGAATCCCATCGAAGCCACTCAAAAAGGAGGGATATCAATTCTTGGAGTGTTTCAATGTAGGGCCGACAAATTTCTCGGGTTTGTGCCGCCCGTGTCAGACCGAACCTCAGAACAGCAGCTTTTGCACAGGCGGTTTCCAGCAACAGGGCACTCTTGTCGTGAACCGTTTGGAAGGCACACCAAAAGGCAACAACCACCTGGGGTGGGTCACCCACCAAAACAAAACAGCCCCGAATTTGTTGAGCCTCGCATTCGATCAGGAGGGCCTCTACCCGTATGGCCCCTGCACCTGCAACAAGGCGGACACCCCGGCCAAGTACTCTGATGCCCCTTGGGACTGGAAAAACATTGGGACAGTTGCCTCTCTTTCGCAATTCAACACGGGGAGCGCTTGGAACTCCATTCATAGCTCCCGTTGTTTCTTTTGAAGAAGTCAAGTGTACCACTGCCCCCAAACATATACCCTAAACAGTGATTATAGACCCCAGTTCCCTCGGGTGATTTTGCGGGTCGCGTAAATTACATGAGATGAACGGAGAGGAGCCTGCGATTGCACCTTTCAGTCTGAGTCAATCTCTATCCGAGGTGCTGTGGACCCCTGGTATAACCATTGCGCGCGCCGGTGAGGACTGGCCGCTTTAGCTTTGAGGGCGCCTGAGTTGCTTTGCAAGGGGTGGCTCGTGGTGTCAGGTGCCTTTTTTCCCCTCGTTGTAGTGGCATCCCACCACGGGTTAAAGATTTGGATTCGGGATCGATCCCCTATGTTAAACAACCCATGGGGAGGTCAACACGAGTTGTCCACAGCTGTTAAGGAGTTGAATTTCCAGCAGAGGAGCTCAACACTGAACAAGGGAGGCAACAACAAGCCCGTGTGGCTCCAGTGATGTTCGGCCACTCTGTTTCCAACGGATGTCCTCGCTACAAAAGGAAGCACCCAGCGCCTAGCAAGACCTCATTTTGAATGCATGACATTTCATGGATGGTCATGAACCCAGGGTATCCATCACGGGAGTTTCTTTGGGAACCTTGGCAACGCGAATGATCACACCTGGGGTGAATGCCGTTTTTTCCCACGCGCCTTCGCCAGAAGATGGGCTTTGAGTTGCTCTCGAACAAGGAGCAGGCGAAGCGAAGCCGCTTCGATGGTCCAATTCCCCAGGAATTCTCCGGAGATGGATCGAAAAAATGGCGCGGCGTCCTTTGGGTTTCTCTTGAAACATCCATCGAGCGAAAGCTCATCTAGCATTGTGACATGTGATTTGCAAGCGAGGCGTGTATTCTGAATACAACCCTTCTCCATATTATCTCTGAGAACTTGATACTTTTGCGAGAGTGCTTTCCTCCCCCCCCCACCCCAAATCCATGCGTTCCGCACAGGACAAGGAGGCTGTTTGTGGCTGCTTCCTATTCGGGTTTGTAGCGATTTAGGTTTGGGGCTTTTAGGGTTCAGGTTGTTGGGCGTTGGGGCAGATCACTTGGATTCGCCGTGGTTTTAGTGGCAATTAAAGCGGTGAGATTTGTTTTGGCCAGTCCACTCATGAAGTGATGGTATCGCCCGAGATGTTCTCCTGCGTTGGTCACCCTGGGCCACAACTCTAGCTGAAGCTGATGGTTTTTGTTCATACCCCTCCGGGTTGTTCCTTTTTTTAAGGGAAAACCAAGCGAACCCGTATCTGAGGCAACATCGGGTTCTGTGTTAGAAATGTTGGATGCTTTTTTGTGAACCTTCCCGACCTTTCGGTTTTGTTTTGTCTCTCAGCTTGGAGGTTGGAATGAGACGGTCAGGCCACTGTCGCCCTGGTGGCGGCCGCTGCGCCGCCGGAGGCTCAACTCCCGACCCGTCGCGCCATATGGGCCCGAGCCGCCGAGCGCCAGGACTCGGCCTTTTGGGTCAGTTTCATCTGAAAACGGATGGCACTGGTTTCAGTTGTGTTCGACACCGAGGACAACCACAGGCGGGGGCCAGAATCCAGGCATTTTCAAAAACTGAAAGTGTCCAGCCCTTCAAAGAAGGCTGAGCGTATGGCCGAAGTGATGGCCCTAGCAGCAAAGTTGCCGTTGGGGAGGGGCACTCTCCCTTTATCATAGTCCTTCCCTATGACTGGACTTCTCAAGTCCAGGCACCAAGTCACTTTTTGGCAAGGAACGTGAAGTTCGCCCAGCCACCCGAGCTGTACGACAAAGAGCTCATGTCAGCCTTGCCTGCTTGTCGGCGCCCACTGGGCAGAATATGGGGGCAACAGGCTAAGAAAGCCTGGTGAACCCAAGTGCTTGGACGGGTTCCTATTGTTGAAGTTGCTACTTGATGGGCTTGTTGGCATGAATTTGCGCGTGATTGAGATAGACCAGAAATAAACATGTTTCCTGCCAACGAAGGAAGGTTCAAACAGCAGTCGTTGCAACTGCAGGTGGCAACGTGGAAGATGGACCATTGCTGATCCGGAGTGTGCAGTTTGCACTAAATCAGCCGAAAGGTTTGGGTCATGTCCCGGCCGCGGTTTTTAGTGGCGATCGCCAGAATAGAAAGGGTACATATTTGCTGGGATCATGCAGCGTAGGTCGCAGTGCAACCCAACCAACCCAACAGCTGGCCGGCACAAGCCGCGACACCCTAACTTTGACAAGCGGAAAGCCATTGCTTGTGGACCTCTCAGAACTAGACGTTCTTCAGTGTTGCAAGCAAGCATGCCCCCGAAGCCCTGCATTCAAAGCTAGGTCCGATGATTTCATGGAAAGACAACCGAAAGATTGTACCCGGAAGACCTGAAGCGGGAAGCCTTCATATGAGCACCGCCCAAAATGCCCATTGGCCATGTCAATGCATGTCAATAGGTGGTTTCACTCCCTGGTTTGATTGGGATAAACCTCTACAACCGTGCTAGTAGAACCCAAAGACGATAAGCTTTGAGTACCGCTCATATGAGCTACCGTCAATACCGCGCGTGTTCTCCAAGGAGATTGGATTTTGGTGAGTAACGCAGTTCTTAGTCCCATTTTGGGATGAGTCTAACCCATGTCATCCCACTTACTACTGTGGAGGAGAGGACATTGTTGACCATTGCTCACATCATTTCCATAGGCACGGCACGGGTTTGATCAGGCTGAATACCGTGAAGGCGATCCTTTTGGCGCCGCTCTTGAAGCAGCCAGAGGCGCGATAGGGGCACTTAGCAAATCCCAGGCTTTCCGTCGGTTTAACTGTGAGTGAATCAACGCCAAGAACGATCCCAAGAAAGACACCCCAAAGGTGCCTGCTCTAGACGCGACCCCTTTTGCAATCATGGAAGTGGACAATTTCAAGCGGATGGTTGGCGTCAGAACCCGATCTGCCATGGTTGTCGCACAACTCGGCGACGTGCTGAGACCACCACCATCGTCCTGGGCGCATGGGGGTGCGGAGCCTTTGGGTGTGTGCCTCGCTCAGTTCCACTGGCGGTGAGATTTCAACCGTCACCAGTCGCTTGTGAAAGTTGGGAAGGCCTTACTTGCAACCAATCGGTTGTCCATAGTTTCAGTCCAAGGATCAGCTGGAATCGCTTGTGAGATGTTGCTTGCCTCAGGATCCCCACGACATTGCGGAGCTCTTCGTGTCTGCATTGGTGACTCAGAGGTTCCGCTTCGAGCATGCGTGTTCTCTCGCTCTCGTGCCGGACTCCAGGTTGGGCCGGCTCTACCGAGAGGTCCACTTCGCAATCCCTGAGTTTGATGCAGGGCCCTCGAAGCTCGCTTGCGGTGCGATTCGTGCCACGGTTACACTCACAAAGCGAATCAACCTTTCAACCTTCTGGTTTCCCCTTTTGGTCTATGTCCTTTGGGCAACTGAGCAAAATCCGATGAAAAAAAACACAGGCAGCTTTCGGGTGCTGACTGCAAGGATCCAAAACTTGCGGATCCGAGGAATGGCTTTGTTCTTTCCCCGCACAGGTGCAGGACACCAATCCCCAGATTTTCCGGAAGGTCTTCCGCCCGGCGCCAAGTCGCGTCAGGTCACCGAGCGCCGTGCGCCGTGCGATGTCGTTCTGGTTTGGTTGGCCCAAGCCGGCACCAAGGGGAGAACAACGTGAAGTTCAGAGAGATTGAAGCTGAAAGTGTTTGAAGCTTGTCGCTTCCCAGGCCTGGCAACTCGAGAGAGAGAGAAACTGAGAGAGAAGTATGCCGAAGTGCTCGCAAGGTGTTCGCATGGTGATGTGATTCTCTTTGAACCCTTGAGGGGTTCAAGCATGTCCAAGTTGCTACTGCTTGTCAGCCCACAGTAGTCCAGAGTGGCGCACGGTGATAGAAGCCTTGGCGGCAGCGACCCTATCCTGATGAGACTAGTTTGCTTCAGCCCCGCAGCTGCACAGCCCAGGGTGACTGGCAGAAATTAGCGTGTGCTTGTTTGAGGATCCGGGATACCTTTGTCAAAAGGAAACCCAGAGGAAAACCCAAGCCATTTTGGGGGATACCCAAATATGAAGCCGAGCCCACACGGGGTTGCAGTCCGAAGCTCCAGGAGTGCTGGAGACTGAGTAGTTCCTTCGGGGGCCTGGCTG